CTGAAAGCTGTTTTGGCGCAGTCCGATGGTTCGGCCCTAATCTGATGGTAACCTCCTCGTAAATCTATTTTCGAAAAAACCCTTGCTGTTCGTAGTTGGTCGATCAGTTCGTCGGCGCGGGGAATGGGGTACCGCAACTTGACTGTTACCCTGTTCAGTGCTCTGTAGTCGATACACATGCGAAAACCCCCGTCTTGTTTCGGCGTGAATAGTATCAGTGCGGCGAACGGTGACGAGCTCGGTCTGATGAATGTTTTCTCTAATAGGTAATCTAACTGCTTCCTTAGTTCGTCGAGCTCGGGCTGTGTCAGTCTGAACTGGCGCTGTACGGTTGGCTGTGCCCCTAGTTCTAATTCGATTCGGTGGTCATGTGCTCGCAGAGGTGGCAGTCCTTCCGGTAAGTCGTCGGGGAAAATCCCGGGGTATCGTTTCAACAGTTCCTGTAATTCGGGCGGTACAGCTGCCAACAGTTTCTTGAAATCACTCGCCTGCTCTGATTCCTCTACTACTGCAATGTCTACTGCGTACACATCAGCTTCAGCAGCGACAGCCCATTTAATTGTGATGGCGTTGACGTGTACCGTTGAAGACTCGGGCGACTGCTAGTGAGGTAGCTCGACCCAGTTACCACTACTTCGCACGGTGCAGCTACCCGTCGTCCACTCAATTCGCGGGTTATACCGTCGCAGCCAATCGCATCCCAGTAAAATATCGTGCCCATCCAGTGTCGTTGCGAGCATTTCCTGTGTAAACCCGAAGCGGACTTTGACTCTCTCTACCTTTTCCCGTATGGCCAGTGGCGTGCCGTCGACTAAGCGTGCGTCTATCTCCGGTAAGCGACGACTAAGTGTCACCTGCAGTTTTCATGCGGTTGCGGTATTAACTTAACTGTGGCTTGCTCCTCCGTCGATAAAAATCTTCACTGCTGCTCCCTGTATTTTCCCGTCGATCAGTACTGGGCAATCCGTCGCTGTACCCTCCTTATTCGTCCGAGTCCGATCGATAGCATGAATCGGTACTGTGACTCGGTGAGGGTCGGTGGGGTTGGGCGAGCAGGCAGTCTCGTCAGTAGTTGGCCCGATTCCTACTGACTGCTAGCGTTTTCCTGCTTTGGAGACTCCCTCCCCTGCTCTGCTCCGCGGCGCCTCAGCTCCTTTGGGCATTCGCTCTTGCGATGGCCCGACCTGTTGCAAGCAAAGCAGCGCCCCTTAAACGGCGCGACAGCTGCATTCGTCGCAACAGCATGTACAGTGGCGTGCTCGATCGGTTCCCGAGGACGATGTCCATAGTAGGACCCCGGTCTCGGACGGCGTAAAATGTCGATTTTCTCGGAGAGCGCGAGAATCTCGTTCAAGTTCGAGAGCCCGCGTAGCATGATTTCGTGCGAGATGTCCGGCTTCATCCCTTCGACGTAACGGTCCACCCGCTCCGCTTCCTGCATGTAGCCGACAGGCTCGCATAATGCGAGAAAACCACTCGTGTATTCTTGAGCCGATCGTAGCTGCCGCCAAGTGCGCAATCTCTGACGAGCCGAAATAGAAGTCGCGATCGGCTCAAAGCGCACCCGAAGCCCTGCGCACCACGCATCCCACGTGCTATATTGGGCGTACTCGCAGAATGAACTGAGAAGAATAGAACGAGAATGAAATGACTATGAACGAAGTGAGTACAAATAGGAAACCCTGATTGGGTTGTACCCCCTATGGGATACCCCACTATAGCCTACACAAATAAGTAAGCTATAATGTTCTGACACACCCCCATAGGCAAAGTGGGGGAGAAAAAGGGGTCACAAGACCAGTCAGGCAAAGCAAAGCAAAGCTCAGGGTGGATCACAAAGTCACCACACAGTCCGAGCACAAGTTCAAAGGCCAGAAGGCCAGTTCACATGCAAGATCACATATAGAGATATACAAGAGTCAAGCAAGCAAGAGAAAGAGTATATATAGGAAAAGGTACAAGCAAGGTCAAGAAGTGAGCAAGTGAGGCAAGACAGGCACAAGACTCAGCTGCGTGCAGCAGCGCTAATGATCACAAGGCGCAAGTGCCTTGGTGAAGACATCAGCAGTGTTGGCCTCAGAGGCCACGTACGCAAGTCGCAACTGTCCACGCTGCTGTAGCTCACGAGCAAGAAAGTAGCGGAGAGAAATGTGCTTTGTTATGTGCTTTGTTCTGTGCTCCAGTCGCTGCTCTCGACACAAGGCCAGCATGGCCTTGTTGTCTACGTACAGGACTGGAGGAGAACGAGGCGGCTCTCCAAGTTCGGTCAGCAGGTAGGTGAGCCAGCGAAGCTCCTGGGCCGCCATAGCCCCGGCGTAGATCTCAGCCTCACAATTGGAGCCGAGAACACAAGACGAGCGGGTAGCCCGCCACGAAACAGAGCCGGAACCAAGGCTGAAGGTGTAACCCTGTGACGACCGCTGCGTAGCCTGGTCGTCAGCCCAAGAAGCGTCCGCGTGCCCAGTGAGGACCACTAGACTGCGCCCTCCAAGCACTAGCCCCATGCCTGACGTACTGCACAAGTAGCGCAACACCCTCTTCGCTGCAGCCATGTGCTCTGGTCGGTGTCTCCCAGGAGCAACATAGCGTGCGAGAATGCTAAGAGGGTATGCAAGGTCAGGTCGTGTGCAGGTCATCAGGTACATGAGGCAGCCAACAAGCTCTGCATACGGGCCACTCGACTCTACGGACTCATCCGAAGGCAGAGCTGAGAGCGAGTGGCGAGTAGGCAGAGAAGTGGCCTGAGGCGAGGAGTACGTGAAGCCGAAGCGCTGAAGGACCTGCTGCACCATGTGTGACTGAGTCAGAGTAATGGTGCGGCGTGCTCTCTCCCGGGTGATCTCCAAGCCAAGGTAGCTGCGCAGTTCACCCATGTCAGTGCACGTGTGTCTCTTCTGCAGCTCGGACTTCACGTAGGCGAGTCCAGCAGTGTCAGCTGTGGCAAAGACCAAGTCGTCAACGTACACGAGGATGTAGAATGGCGGCAGAGAGGTGTCGGTGCGCAGAAACAGCGACGGGTCTGCAGTGGAAGGAGCAAACCCAAGTGCCGCCAGCGTAGTCCTTAGTGTGTCGTGCCACTCACGCGGCGCCTGGCGGAGACCGTAGACTGGACGCCGGAGACTCCACTGGGTACCAGGAGGGAAAGACCCAGTGAAGCCAGGTGGATGACGCAGCCAGATCTCCTCGTGCAGGCTGCCCTGCAAGAAAGCAGTGCTGAAGTCAAGAGAGTGCAGCTCGTAGTCGCGGTGAGCAGCAACGTGCAGCAGTACCCGAAGAGTGGTCATCTTCGGGGTGGGGGAGAAGGTCTGAAAGTAGTCAACTCCCTGCCGATGTCTGAAGCCACGAGCCACGTAACGCGCCTTGAAGACAGGCGGAGAATCCGGCGGCCGCTTCACCCTGAAAATCCACATGCCACTGACGATGTTCGCCCCAGGAGGGGGAACAGCGTCAACGTAGGTGCCTGTGGACTTCCAGGAAGCCATCTCTGCATCCATAGCTGCCTGCCACTGAGAGGAGTAGGGACCCTCTGTCGCCTCCGCGTAAGAGCGCGGAGTCGGGATGTCTAGTGCATCCGGGTCTCCCTCAAAGGTGAGCAGTACAAACGCGAGATGAGGTGAAGCGGCGGCCAGACACTGGAACTCCTCCTGCCTGTCCTCTAGGACGTCCGTGCCAAGGGCACACTCACCCCCGACGGACGGAGGACAGGCAGACTCAGACTCAGCGACAAGACTAGCAGCATAGTCTAGACGACAGCGCGCAGCAAAGTCGACGAGCTCAGTAACAAGGGCGGACGCAGCACAAGACTCGAAAGAAGGGTCAGTGACGGTAGTAGCAAGGAGACGCGTGACAGTAGGACTGGCAGCACGAAGAGAGTCCGACTCCGGGTCGGCAAGAGCAGGAAGAGAGGAAGCAGGAGGAGAAGGCAAAGGGGCACGCGGAGGAGCAGTGGACGGACGTAGAGACATCCGGTGCGTGCCAGGGACAGGAGGAGGACGCTGACGCGAACCGCGACCACTAGTGCGCGCAGCACGAACAGGCGACGCAGGACGTGACGCAGGCTCACGACGCTCAGTAAGACCTCCAGTCGGACCATTGTAGGGAGAAGGAGCAGGCAAAGAGGAGGCAGGCTGTAGCTGTGACTGTGACTGGACAGGCTGTGGACCCTCTAGGGGAGGAGGAGGAGGACCAGGAGAAGGTGTAAGACCAAGAACGTGTTGCAGGAGTGGAACGAAGTACGGTCGGGGTCGCGTGGCGACGCCAAAAACAGCAGGGACAGCACCAGTACCCCCAGCAGGAGTACCCGCTCCAGCAGCACCTCCAATAGCTCCAGAACCCCCAGCAGCACCTCCAGCAGCCCCAGAACCTCCAGCAGCACCAGGAGCACTGCCAGTCGGACCGCCAGCGGTAGTCTCAGCGCCAACACGCTCAGCAGCACCAGCTCCAGGAGAACCCGCAGGCCCAGCAGCTCCAGTGCTCCTAGTACGAGCACCTCCGGGACGCGCGGCAGCAGCACCCTCAGCAGCCGAAGAACCTCTAGCACCAGCAGCACGCCTCCAGCGCCGGCCAAACCACTCACGCAGCTCCTGTGGGGAGAGTGGCTCTCGGCGAGACGAAGCACCCGGACAACCTCCAGGCGAAGAACCTCCAGTCTCAGCACTCCCAGGCTCAGCACCCCCGGGCACAGCACCTCCAGTCTCAGCACCCCCAAGCTCAGCACCCCCAGGCTCAGCACCCCCAGGCTCAGCACCCCCAGGCCCAGCACCCCCAGGCTCAGCCTCCCCAGGCTCAGCACCCTCAAACTCCGCACCCCCAAGCTCCGCACTCCCAGGCTCAGCACCCCCAGGCACAGCACCCCCAGTCACAGCACCCCTAGGCTCAGCACCCACAGCAGCACCAGAGTCACCAGTGACCTCGACAGGCTCGATCGCGTCTACATGGGACACACCTGAAGGGGCAGGACCCTGAGGGGGGAGGGGGTCGATCGCGGGGGGACCTGGTACCTAGAAGAGCGGGGGTGGGGGGAGGGACGGAGTGCGGTAGGGGAAGAGGTGGTAGTAGGGTACTGACTTGTCGAACGTGACGTCCTGGGAGGACAGAACACGGCGAGAGGTGGGGTGGTAGAACTGCCACCCAGGGGCGTCAGGGGGGAACCCTAGGAAGACGCAGGGAGCAGCGCGAGGGGACAGCTTGTCCGCACACAAGTCGCGGACAAACGCCCGAGATCCCCAGACCTGGAACGCCGACGCATCGCCAACCTTCCCCGTCCACAGCAGAGCTGGGGAGGTCTCCGGCCTGGAGACCCTGGGGTGGAGGTTGATCTGATGCGCCGCATACCTGACTGCAAACGGCCACAGAAAATGGGGGGCAGCCGCATGCATCATTGACGTACGAGCGACGTCCATGACCATGCCAATGCGGCGCTCTGCAATCCCATTTTGCTGCGGTGAGTCCGGAAGCGTGAAGGTCTGACGGATGCCTCGCGCACGACAGTAGGCACGCAGAAGGCCAGAGGAGAACTCTCCGCCTCTGTCCGAGTGCAGACGCAACACAGGAAAGTCCGAGCCAAAGCTCTGCCTGAGCTGGAGACGAGCTGGGCGGATCCAGTCGATCAGTACCTCAGTGACATCACCCTTGCTGCGCAAGGGGAAGACTGTGGTGTAACGCGAGTAGTCGTCAACCACCAACAGGAAGTAGCGCTCGTGACCGAGTCCACGGACGCGGGCAGGGCCCCACACGTCCATGTGAAGCGTCTGCAACGGAGCCTCTGTCGGAGGAAACTGGGAGGAGTGAGGGGCAGCACGCTGGCGCCCCTCGACACAGGGGACACAAGCAGGGCCAGGGCCCTGAGGAAGGGGAGGGAGGGACCGGGGGAGACCAGACACAAGAAGACGGGAGGCCATGCCTCTGACCCAAAGAAGAGAGGGGTGACCCAGGCGGTGGTGCCAGAGGAGAGTCTCGTGAGACAGGCGACGACACGAACAGGGGGCAGACTCAGGACCAGACCTGGACGCTGCATCAAACACCTGACCTGACGAAGAGACCCTACGAGACTCAGGAACTGGAGGAGAAGCAGTGGTCAGTGTGTACAGGCTCGACCCTGGCTGACGTGTAAACGTAGCCAGGTGACGGCCTGTGCGAGCCTCTGTGCAGTGCGTCACCCGCTAACGAGCAGGGGTGAACTGGTGGACTCCCGCATCCTGAAGGTCAGCACCACTCACCAAGTTCGTAGAGAATGAGGGGAGGTAGAGACCAGACATGGTGCCAGAGGGAGCCGCCGGACACGGGAGGACGGTGGAGAAGCGAGACAGGACAGGACCCCCAGAGGGGTCAGCCAGGGACACCGCAACCGGCCGACTAAGCGGCGTGAGTGTGGTGCGGTCTCGAAAGAAGGAGCGAGACGCTCCAGAGTCAAGAGTGAAGGTGTGGGAGGCCGAAGCCGGCGCAGTACCTGAGGGCGCAGACTCACTGGTATCTGAGAGAGCAGCCTCACCAGTACCTGAGAGCACAGACGCACTGGCACCTAGAGCAGAAGCCTCACTGACACCTAGAGCAGCAGTACCAATGCCCGGGTCGGGCGGGAAACACCGGTAACAGTCACCCTCATCACTAATGGTCACAGCATACATGGCAGCAAGGATAGCATCAAAGTCAAGATCAAAGATAGCTACACCAGCCCTAGACAGCTCTCCCCAACGGGGGATCTCCGCGGCCTCCGGGAACTGCTGACGCCAAGCGTCCGTCACGCGACCAAAGCAGCGCTGGGCGGTGTGGGTACCCCCACACTGCTCTCCAGCACGGTCGCCAGTACGAAGGACGTAGGTGCAGGGACCAAAACCCCCACCACGCTGACGCTGGGTGTACCACTCACGGAGCTGCTGAGGCGTCGGGAGGTCGCAAGAACGCTGCTGCTGCTGCTGCTGGCGCTGACCACCCCCAGTGCTGCTCCGCTGCGAAGCGCCACTCCGACCACCTCCACCACCGCCACCACCACCGCCACCCCCGCCTCCGCCTCCACCGCCGCCACCTCCGCTCCCACCGCCACCGCCGCCGCCACCCCCGCCCCCACTGCCGCCACTAGCACCCTCACCCCCGCCACCACCTCCACCGCCACCCCCACTCCCTCCGCCGCCTCCACCGCCACCTCCACCGCCCCCGCTGGCCCCACCCGCTCCCTTGCCCCCCTTGCCCTTGCCAGAGCGGCGTCTCTCGGTAGGGGCAGACGCCGCACCGACCGACTCAAGACCAACGAGGTCGGCCGCAGCGGCAGAGGCGACAAAGGGCAGGAGAGGGGAAGGAGAACACCCCTCAAAGATGGGGGCGCGGGGGTCACCTCAAGAGGCTCCTACAGCGACTATGCTCTTCTCCGCCGCTAGGAGAGCCTTCTCTAGGCTGTCGACTGTGAGGGTTGTGGGACAGACCGCGAGGAAGTGGTCCCGGACTACACGAAGGGAGTCAGGGAGGCGAGTGACTAAAAAGTAGAGATTGATGTACATGGGGGGGGGGTTCTTGGCACAGAAGTCAGCAGGAAGCGCAGCGCGGTAGCAAGTGTCACTAGTGCGGAGGTGCGTAATGAGGTCAGCGACAGTGGGAAAGGCGGCAAGGTCAGGGAAGAGGAAGGGGAGCATGAGGCGGCTCAGTGCAGCAGTGGCAGGGGAGGAGTAGCGCGCAACTACAGCGTCGTACAAGGTCTGGGCACTCTTGTACTGGCTAAAGTGCGCGAGCTCACCGGTAGGCAGGTGGCGACGCACAGCAAGACGTGCAGCAGCATCGCGCGTGGCCCACTGTGAGCGAACAGTGGCGTCAGCATCAGCAGCAGGGGCAGGGACGACGCCAGAGGTGAGGTCAAAGAGAGAAAGACTGTCTGCCCTATCGCATTGTAAGAACAGCTGCAGGTCGTCGAGCCAAACCTCAAAGTCAATGGCACGACCCTCAGCGTCAAAAGCTAGGACACTAGGGGTAGCCATGACTGCAACCGGCGATCTCACCAGACAGGACGGGTCGGGGAGCACAGTAGCACAGCAAACACGGCTGCTCGGCCGGCCCAGCAGCAACAGCAGCACCTCGGCACCAGCGGCTCGGCTCCTCGGGCGGCTCGGGCGGCTCGGGTGGCTCGGGCGGCTCGGGCGGCTCTGGCGGCTCGGGCGGCTCGGGCGGCTCTGGCGGCTCGGGCGGCTCGAGCGCTCCGCGGCACAGGCGACCCGGGCGGCTCTGTTGCTCGGGCGGCTCGGGCGGCTCGGCTCCTCAGCTGCGCAGGCGGCTCGGGTGACGCGGGTGGCACGGGCGGCTCGGGCGTCGTGACGGGCGGCTCACGGGCGGCTCGCGGGCGGCTCACGGGCGGCTGAAGGGCGGCTCACGGGCGGCTCACAGGCTGCTGTCGGGCGGCTCACGAGCGGCTCACGGGTGGCGCACGGGCGGCTCACGGGCGGCTCACGGGCGGCGCACGAGCGGTCACGGGCGGCTCACGGGCGGCTGAAGGCGGCTGACGGGCGGCGCACGGGCGGCTCACTAGCGGCGCACGGGCGGCGCACGGGCAGCTCACGGGAGGCTGAGGGCGGCGCACGGGCGGCTCACGGGAGGCTGAGGGCGGCGCACGGGCGGCTCACGGGTGGCTCACGGGTGGGCCACGGGCGGTTCACGGGCGGCGCGTCGGGCGGCTGAGGGCGGCGCACGGGCGGCACGTGGACGGCCTTGGGCCTGGCGGGCAGCACGCGGGCGGCTAAGGGTGGCGCGCGGATGGCGCGCGGGCGGCCTGGGGCCTGGCGAGCGGCGCGCGGGCTGTGTAGGGCGGCGCACGGGCTCTAGGGCAGCGCGCGGGCTGCGTAGGGCGGCGCGCGGGCTGCGTAGGGCGGCGCGCTGGCTCTAGGGCGGCGTGCGGGCTGCGAAGGGCGGCGCGCGGGTTGCTAAGGGCGGCGCGCGGGCTGCAAAGGGCGGCGCACGGGCGGCTAAGGGCCGGAACGGACGGCGCGCGGGCGTGAAAGAGAGAGCCCGGAGCGCGCTCCGGGCAGAAAAAAAAGTCAAAGTAGTGGTGGGCCCTAAGCACAGTTCCCACAGGGGAACCTGCTCGATACCATGAGAATAATAGAACGAGAATGAAATGACTATGAACTAAGTGAGTACAAATAGGAAACCCTGATTGGGTTGTACCCCCTATGGGATACCCCACTATAGCCTACACAAATAAGTAAGCTATAATGTTCTGACATGAACTCCAGGTGTCAGCTGGGCCCGTGGGCCCTTCCTCTTGTGACGGTGGCGACGTCACGATGACTCGCCACCAGTCTATGGCGGGGCCCCTTAGCAGCAAAATGGCATACCGAATCTTCGCTGCGTCCGACTCGACGTATTTCGCGTCGAAGAAGACGTTCATCGTGAAGACCCACGATTGAACCGTCGGACCTCCACGCTGGCTCGGGTTGAAGAAGGGCGGGCGTTGCGGCTTGAGTGGCATTGGTGCCATAATGGCCTGTTCGCCACTTGTCGCCGCGAACTCCACGTGCCGACGGGCTTTGCGAGGCTCCCGCGGGCTTGGTGCGACCTTGTTTCCTCCCATGCCAGGCATCGGCTGGGCGGCGCCATCGCTGGCTACGCCTAAGCACTGTCCCACGCTGTAGTTTTGTGTTGGTGTGCCGGACGAGATTACGATCGGCTCGTCTGATTGTGCAGATGCATTTGTCGGTGCGTGTGGTGGCGCTGGAGTGTTCATCTTTGATTGCTGACGCGCGTAGTCACGTTCCGCCGTGAGCGTCGCAATTTCGAGCGCCGAATCTTCAAGTTGGCGCACCAGACGGTCGAGCTGCTCCTGCGTCAATGTGGCGAGCGTGTATTCGGCCATGGCGGGGGTGTTGGGCGAGCTCAGCGAGAGCCTCGGTCGTGGCTGTGCGTGCTTACGAGAGAGCACTACGAGCGGCGGTGCTGAGTCGCTGAGAGACGTCTACCCCCCCAAAAAATTGAGATAGTGGGGAAGCGAAGGTGTGGGTGCGGTCCGAGAGGAGATCGTAGGCTCTGAATACCAGGTGTTACGAGTGCAATTGAGTGAACAAACGAGAATTGCACTATCGAAGCAAGAGTACTATGAGCGAAGGCATGAGCGAAGAATATATAGCGAAACTACACTGGTAACGGTAATGGACTGTGGTTGTCGCGCGACGGGCCTGGGACTGAGGTTGGGAAAAAGTGTCGAAGCGGAGGCCCGGAGCGCGGGTTACCCGCCGAGCCGTGAGGTCGGGGTGCGATGTGCGAAGGTGGCGGTCGGATTGTCGATGCGAGGGTTGCGAGTGGTAACGGTGCTGACTGTGTGCTATAGTGATGTACGCGTTGAGCAGGGATGCGAAGTAAGGAAAGAGAATTTTCCTTACATGTGCCCTGTATACCACCTGTATGGCAGCGTCAATTTGTAGTAGAAATTGCCACACTAAGGTACATCAATTTGTTACCTACTTTATGACTTAACAATACATATCATATATTTGCATGTGACCCTTGGTGGATGTGGATGTATAAGCTTCAACTTGAACACATTCAAAACATATGTTACAAATTTGTGGCTTTGTTTTGTAGGTGTTACGGGTGCAATGAATCGAAGGAGCGAGAATTGCACTAAGGTGTTGGGTTGTCCGGACTCGGGTTCATGGGCACTGTAGGGTTTTGCCCGTAGTTCAAATAGAAAGGGGACTGCTGCGTCGTCGCTGACGTGGCGTTGTTATACGCGAACTCGATCAGCGGCAGCCGCTCCTCCGAAGTGGTCGGGTCGTCGCACGTGGCACGAATCAACTGCTCCATCCTCTGATTCGTCCACTCCGTTTGACCGTCGGTCTCGGGGTGGTACGACGAGCTGAACTGTAGCCTTGTCCCGAACTGCTCCCTGAGGTTCTTCCAGAAGTTGCTGGTGAACTTCGTGTCGCGGTTGCTGATTATCGCGGCTGGTATCCCGTCCAGTTTAACAACGGCTGCGATGAACAGGCGAGCGGTTTCTGTCAAACATTATATATGTTGTGCTTGTTTAGGCTACAGTGGGTTAGCCTATAGGGGGTACACAATTCTAGGGTTAGGTACTTGTACTGATTTCACTGTTAGTTCAATCATTCCTGTTTGTTCATTTCAACATGGTATAGAGCAGGTCCTTCGCTAGGACCGTTTTTTTAGGGCCCACCACTACCTACCTACCTACCTAACTGCGCCCTAGGGCGCCTCGTTCTTCACGGCCCCCTAAGGCCTCGCGACCCGCCCCTTAGCGACCTGCGCGCCGCCCCTTAAGGCCCCGTCGGCCCACGCGCTCGCCCCTTACGGCCCCGCGCTCGCCCTTTAGCGACCCCGTCGGCCCCGCGATCGCCCCTAACGGCCCGACGGGCAAACAGCCATGGACACAGAGATGGCTTCCTGGAAGTCCACAGGCACCTACGTCGACGCGGTTCCCCCGCCTAGGGCGAACATCGTTAGTGACATGTGGATTTTCAGGGTGAAGCGGCCGCCGGGCTCTCCGCCTGTCTTCAAGGCGCGTTACGTTGCACAAGGCTTCAGTCATCGAGAGGGAGTTGACTTCTTCCAGACCTTCTCTCCGACCCCGAAGATGACCACTATTCCGGTTCTGCTGCACGTCGCCGCTCAGCGTGACTACGAGCTCCACTCTCTTGACTTCAGCACTGCTTTCCTACAGGGCAGCTTGCACGAGGAGATTTGGCTGCGCCGCCCACCTGGCTTCACTGGGTCGTTCCCTCCTGGTACCCAGTGGAGCCTCCGACGGCCAGTCTACGGTCTCCGCCAGGCGCCACGTGAGTGGCACGACACACTGAGGACTACACTTGCGGCTCTTGGGTTCGCGCCTTCTACTGCTGACCCGTCGCTGTTTCTACGCACCAACACCTCACTGTTGCCGTTCTACATCCTCGTGTACGTCGACGACTTGGTCTTTGCCACTGCTGACACTGCGGCACTCGCCCACGTGAAGTCGGAGCTGCAGAAGAGACACACGTGCACAGACCTGGGTGAACTGACAAGCTATCTTGGCTTGCGGATCACCCGGGACAGAGCACGCCGCACCATCACCTTGACTCAGTCACACATGGTGCAGCAGGTCCTTCAGCGCTTCGGCTTCACGTACTCCTCGCCTCAGCCCACTCCTCTGCCTACCGGTCACTCGCTCTCAGCTCTGCCTTCGGATGAGTCCGTAGAGCCGAGTGGCCCGTATCCAGAGCTTGTGGGTTGCCTCATGTACCTGATGACCTGCACTCGACCTGACCTTGCATACCCTCTTAGCATTCTTGCACGCTATGTTGCTCCCGGCCGTCACCGGAAGGAGCACATGGATGCAGCTAAGAGAGTGTTGCGCTACTTGTGCAGTACGTCGGGCATGGGGCTAGTGCTTGGAGGGCGAGACCCAGTTGTTCTCACTGGGCACTCAGACGCTTCTTGGGCAGACGACCAGGCTACTCAGCGGTCGTTTCAGGGTTACACCTTCAGTCTTGGCGCTGGTTCAGTTTCTTGGCGTTCTACTCACTCTTCTTCCGTTCTCAGCTCCAGTTGTGAGGCTGAGATCTACGCCATAGCCATGGCGGCCCAGGAGCTACGCTGGCTCACCTACTTGCTGACCGACCTTGGAGAGCGGCCTCGTTCTCCTCCAGTGCTGTACGTCGACAACAAGGCAGCCATTGCCTTGTGTTAGGAGCACAGACTGGAGCAGAGAATGAAGCACATTGCTCTACGCTACTTCCTTGCTCGAGAGCTGCAGCAGCGTGGTCAACTTCGTCTGCGTTACGTGGCCTCTGAGGGCAACACTGCTGATGTGTTCACCAAGGCGCTTCAGCCTTGTGACCATCAGCGCTTTTGCACTCTTCTAGGCCTTGTGCCTACTGGACCTCACTTGCTTACTTCTTGAGTCTGTTTGTACTGTGATCTCTATATATATATACCTGCATGTTTACTCTTGCTAGGTTGTGATCTTTGTACCTCTTGTTCTATTTTAAACCTG